TACACTTTTCTAAATATGAAATGTCTGTTATAGGCATCCCTTTCTAACTCTACAAAATTATCCAGCAAGCAACTAACATTCATCTTGCTCTTCGTTATCTTCTTCTTCTTCTCCTTCGTTTTCTGCTTCATTTTCCTCGTCACTGGAATCTGAATTATCCCAATGCTTCAAATCCTCTGCGGCACCTTCCAATCCAGCTTCACAAAGTTTACGTCTCAGACAAGTTAAACAGTATTTGCCGTTCAGGAATAAATTACACAATTTAATACCGCGACTATATTTTTTAACAAGATCATTACACTCTTCTTCAGTACAAAAACGACCTAGTCCGTACACCGCTTCGTGTTCTGCGTCCTCCACTAAAGCTGACAATTCTTGTACTAAACGTTCCACGGCCGTGTGTGCGTCAACTGCTTTCGTCCAATTTTCGGCAGCGTAACACATCCACATTTTGTCAATTACACAAAAAATACTAAACTAACATGCTACACGAATGAGTATTACTTAAATACTTTTGCCACCTCCACATCAAGTTCCACTTTGCCAGGTAACGAGACCAATACTAGCTGCATTATTACAGTTGATCGCCATTAAGGGTTCTAAAACACTCATGATGTTGTTTTTGAGATCGCCACCTATTTCTGCAACTCCGGTGATTAAGTTCCCATAGAAATGTCCAAATTCTTCAGACGACAAACACTTTAGCCGATACTTTATAACATCCAACTTATTCCACAATTCCATTACGCTTTCCCATCCTAAATACACCTCCGATGGTCCCTCATCGCGAATTTTGATAACCTTCCTTTCGTGAATTGTTATGAACTCAATCACCTTTGAATTTACCTTGATTGGCTGCCAAATGGGATCCGTTGAGTAAAAATAATGGGTAAGTACCCCCTGTTGATCCACAAATGCTGCCCATTCATTTTCATTAAACAAAATAGATTGATTTTTAACGCCACTAATTTTCACAATGGGCGAAAACAAGTGATTTGCAGATAGGGCAATCCATACATGCTTCGTTTGCGATTTATTTAAAGGATACACATGTTGAGCCACTAATTGCACGATTTGCTCTTCATTCTTCTTCTTATTTTCTGACACTTTCTTTTCTGCACTTTCCGCTTTCTCTTTAGCGCCTTGAATTAGTTTGGCAAGCTGATTCATTTTGCATTACTACTACTATTACACGTATTTTCAAACAAATATATACTTTAGGAGCGCTTGAAATCCCACCCGAGCTAAACGGCTCATTTGAGACCCCATCCGTTAAGGAAGGATCATGTGAGACCCCATCCGTTAAGGAAGGATCATTTGAGACCCCATACGTTAAGGAAGGATCATTTGAGACCCCAATGGGTTGTAACTAGGTCATCGAGGATTCTCTGAGACCCCACTCGCATTTGAAAAGTAGGTCAGAGGATTCTCTGAGACCCCACTCGCATTTTAAAAGTAGGTCAGAGGATTCATTGAGTCCCCATAGGATTCTGATCAGGATCTGCGCATCCCCATCCATATAGAGCCCATATGCGCGGAACCCAAGGTCAAAGAGGATCTGCGCACCCCCATTCTTTCCCTACTAGAAACGAACCACAGATTGTAATTTTCAGACAAATAGCCATGCCTAGGATTTTTATTAACGATTCTTGAGATCGTTTATAATTTTGTACTACCGTCTATCCGTCTGCCTGTCCGTGTGCACGATAACTTTGTTTAGAAACGTCCGATCGCTTTGAAAATTGTACACATATTCTTAAAATACAAGAGAGGTCGATATTGTTTTTCAGATAGGTACGTAGACAGTCGGGTCAAAAAGTTACATCTCGAGGATCGTTCGGTGTTCAGTTGTATCGGAGTAATTTAAGGGTTACCTAGACTTCGTTGTCCCTCCCTTCCCGCGTAGAGGCCTCTGCATATCATTTCTGTTTCTAGTATGATGGATCGTTTTGAAAGGAGAGCCCTCGGTTCATACAGGGTGTTCCTAAATATGATGTAAATAGGGAAGAGGCTAATCTTCGGCTTATTTTATAACTGCAAGTTCATATAAACATAGATCCGCAAACGCTTCATTACCGATCTGCAGGGTGTGAAAATTTCAAGATTTTTCAGTTTTTCCTTTATATTTGTTGCAGTTTTTGAGATATTTCGCTCAAATTTGAAATATAAGTTACCCTGAAGAGCTTACATCATATAAGTCATGTCAATGATATCCAGAAATACAATAATTGCTTTCAAATTACGGCATTTGGCGCAACTAGAAGTTAGTGCGTTTATTTTTTATTATTTTGGGGAGAGATTGAGAAATTTTGGGGCAAGTATGTCAAAATCTCTGTTCCTGCTAAACGGTTGAACCGATTTAAACCAAATTTGCTACACTAACATAAAAGGGCAGAATCGCGCATGCGCAGGTGGGGCGGGTGGTACCTGTACTAGCCACAGCAAATTTTTTGTAATTATTTATTCCAGTCCGAATTGAATAGGTATTCATAGCTAAGAAAGAGGACACCGTCCGTCGGGTCAGCTAGTAATAAAAACAGTTTTAAAGTGTAAAGTCTACGGTACAACTATAACACCCTGTAAATCGGTAACAAAGCGTGTGCAGATCTATATTTATATGAACTTTTAGTCATAAAATTAAGTCAAAGAATTAGACACTTCCGTATTTACATCATATTTAAAAACACCCTGTATATATAGATCAGGTCATTTTTGACTGAGACTGACCATTTTCTCATACCTTTCCCATATACCTTTTGCTTGCTGTTTGCGAACCTTTTCAGCTCTCGGCAAGTTTATGCTCCGTAAACTCCATTTCGGATGATTCAGGAACCTTCTCGGATGTAACAAAAGCTGCTCCATGGTAAGAGTGTTATTAAAATAAATAAATGGGCTAGTTCTAACATAAATAAAGTTCGCGAAATGGGTACAAAAATTGTGAATGTTTGTTAATTACCTTCTGTGATGATTTTAGAGGCTCTCCAGATGCCAATACAATACAAGTTGACAACTCTGGAGACACTACAAGCAGAGCCACCTAACTTTTAAGTCGAAATAATAAACTTTTCGCGGCATTTTTGAATCTATGCAGCAGTCTGCTCGATATGGACGAATCAAATGAACTCCTACGTTGTGTGTGGCGACGCAACGCGCCGCTTGTACATCTGTCAACAAACTAAAACGTGCTGCACCCTCTGACCGATAAGAGCGTAGCGTACCTGGCTGCAAGCAGTTAAAAGCAGATCCCCGAACTTTGAAAAGCAATTCCTGCTTTGACTGCCAGCTAGACTTCGTGCTACGCTTAACCTGCCAGAAGACCCGCATCCGCGCTCGCCTTCAATACTTCGGCTACCTTTTTGTACGTATATTGTAAACATATTCCATAAAGTGTCGGCCGGAAAATTGTGTAATCGGTCCTTTTGTGTTGGAACATGAGACCTTTATCGAGAAGGGTAATTGAATAAAACGCAAATTTTTGTGTGTAAAAATATATATTACGCACAGGGAAACCTTCTAGGGGACAAAACCCCGGCATATCCCACACAAATACATGAAATAAATCCAACTAGGTACAAACAAATTGCGAACGATAAAAATGCACAAATAAAACTGCTCAAATTGTACGATAAAAAGAGGTAATCAACTGCAGTTAAACAAACACGATTCAGATAACGGTGCATTAATAAAAACTAGAGTACGCCACGCTTCTATATCTTAAACTACGCGTTTAAAAAATATTTTCTACAAAGTAGACTAATATTAGTACAATTTAAGACCAAAGGCAATTATGTAGGTACTAGGTTCAATACTTACTGAGATGCAGCCCTTCAAAAATGGACAATTTTATTCAAAAATGTTTTAAGATTTGAGCAACTTTCAACATCAATAGCGAGGAAATACTTATTTTACCTTGCGTGGGGGAGACCATGCTTCAAGCATCTGGACGTCGCGCGAGGGGATGAACAATTTTAGGTTTATCCATCGCAGGTGCCGGAGCGAAGTGCCTAGTAACTCTGCACGGAAGATACTACACTGAAAATACCCATGATCCATGATTTAAATAATAAAGTGTGACTAATTGACTAATTGGAGATTGTAGAAGACCGAACAGGGGCTCATTCTAACAATAATGAGCGAAGTGGCACTCCTCTATTTTTTTTAAATGTGTATTATGCGGGTGCAAGAAAGATTGTAGTGGACGGCACTGTACTTGCATAAAAAGAAATCTTAAATGCTCCGAAGTCTGCAAATTTTGCTCCGGTGTCTCCTTCCATTACGTGACCGAGCTTTATATTGCCGAAGAAGGAAAAGACGTGGTCGACAATCGTGTATCGGTTGGTTTTCAGGCTAAATCAGACAATTTTAAACCACCCACTTAAACATCATAGACATTTAGAATGTCTATGCCCACGAAGCGTTCAAAATGAACATAATTGTAACCAAACATAATTTTCTTGAAATGTCGTAGGTAAATGTACTTAATGAATATCAATAAATATCTAGAGAAATATTTTTTTATATCATAAATAAATAATTTTCTGTAATAAATAACATACAATACCTGTAGTTTAAATATAAATTTATTGTGGAAGTATATGGTTTTCTCTAGTACGCGATATTTGTTTTCCGTCCATTTTAAAGACCGTCTTACTCCGTCTGTGTCAAAAGCTATTTCAATTCTTTAAAAAATTTCCATGGTTAACATGATTTGGCGAATAGGATTTTTTGCCGAATGTTTGCTAAATAATGAAACATACAACTGAAAATGAACTAATTTGTATATCATTAGATGAGAAAAAAAAAAATCTTTCTATTGGTGTCATTATGAACCCTCTAAGTTAATATAGGGAGCAACGATCTGCAAAAAACCTGTTTACCCATGTTAATTCCCTATGTTCGGTTTTGAAATATTCACCCGGTATATAAAATATATATGGTGTGAACGCGCTACGCTATAGTAGTTCACATGAAATTTGATAGTTGCAACTGTCTCAGTAGGTCATGTTTCCTTACAGATTGTCAAAATCAAAGTGAGAAGTCATCTGTTCTAAATCAAACGGGTGTAATTTGTAATTTTTTTTTAAAACCATACAAGAAATTCTATATTTATTTGTAGAGAATGGACTCGAGTTCCGATCACATCGATTGTGAATGCAGTTTATTGAAGAATAGTTCCGATGAAAGCGACTTCCAATGTTCAATTGGAAAAAAGTTCTTGCTGAGCAAATCTTTGCAAATGGATTTAAAAGAAAGATATCCCAATGTGTTAGAGTTAATCAAGACCCTTCGTAAATATATTGAACAGCAGCAAAAGAAGATTAGTAAATTAAAAGTGAAATTATGTGTAAGTGTAATTATAATGTTTACTTTTTGCCCACAGTTAAAGTAATTGGTAGAAGTTGGAATAAGCCTCTATTCTTAACTGTCTATTTAAAATTCTAGAAAAAAGTAGAAACAAGAAATGTGGCTATTCAAACGAATCTTGATCAAGACCACCAAAATGCTGAAAAGTCTGTTTCTGAAGAAATTACGGAAGCTGCCGAAATGGCAATGCAAAGTACTGGATTTGTATACGAAGAAACTTCTGGTTTGTACTACGACTACAATTCTGGATATTATTATAATGCGGTATGTGCAGCATGTTTGAGGATTTTTTTATAGAAATAACTTTAGGAACTCGGCTTATATTACGATGGAAATTCGGGGACATATATGACGTACAATACTGAAACTGAAACCTACGAGTATCATTCTCAGGTACCGATTGCTACAAAAAAGTGGGATGAAGTAGTGAATAAACCTATAAGGAGCAAAAGAAAGAAGAAAACTAAAAAAAAAGTAAGTAAAGTTCTAATTTACCACTAGTACACTAATAGCAATGTGTGTCTATCTATTTATTAAAATACGAGTTAAAATAGTTAATTGAATCACTATTAAATACAAAAAAGTTTATATGTGTATACATATGCGAACTGAACCTTTTGCGAACTGCTCATAAACTGTTCTTTAAAATTATTTTTACAATGAATTTCCAATGATCCATGGAAAAGCCAAACCACCAGCAGTCATTGGTCTGTGTACTACACTCCATATTTAAAGCTCACGAGTAGAAGAACTTCACACAAACACCGCCCACTATGATCTGCGAATCCCATTGTTCGTCAAAAAAACGACAGAAAACAGCACGAACCACTCAGGAACAGTTCACGAGTGCTTACAAATCCCATCCTAATTTAAGTAAACCAGGTGTTCGCGAGCAGTTCACGAACGCTTGAGCTCGCATATGTATGTACACCTTTACATAATCAATTAAGTGGTTATATTAAAGTATTTTACCATACGCTGTTCCAAACTTCAAACCAGTTGGCAATTGACATATTACATATATGATTGTGAATAAAAAATTTTAATAGTATATTTCATTACCAGTCCAGAAAGGAAGATTTACCCGTGGGCGCATGACGTTTCCCGTGTTCGGCTTCGCCTCACACGGGAAGCCATGCAAACATGGGAAAAGCCTTCCTGGACGTGTAATGAACGATATTTTTCACGAGATTTTTCATTATACCTCTCCGAAAATAACGGAGAATAATTATTTACATTGAAGATTTTTAACACAATGGTAAAAAATCGGTTGACATATATGTCAAAGTCAAGCCGCGGTATGCATGGCAACACATGGGATAGGGATAGTTATGGCCAGCGCACGGGAAAACCTTACTTTCGGCGCGCTTGGGATACATGAAAAGACAGTACTTTCGGAGAGGTATAATGAAAAATCCATTAATAAATGACTGAGAAATGTATTACTTCACTTTGCTGCCTGTGACGTCATTTGTCCTAATCGTTGCGGCGCACCAATAAGCAACCGTACACGTTCTAAGCGAACGAATAGGCATCGTATGCGAATAGGTCAAGTGACGTCACACGGTGAAACAACAATATTTTTCCAAGCGCAACTTTAATGTCTTGTTACTTTTTCGTTTGTGGATGTATTTTAATGATTCTTTCGCATTTTTCTTTTATTTGACTTAAATTTTCATAATTAATTTACAGCAAAAAAAAACTGGAAACTTCTCCATTAATATAGGAAACCAAAACTGGCTTAACAGAACAGAAACTCTAAAATATTAATTTTTCTTCGTCTCTTCTAAATGACAAGAGCTTTCGAAAGCACCAAATATAGTTGAAATATTTTAACGGGAACGGGTGCGAACAGCGAATTAATTACAGCTTTAATTATTATTTATTAATTACTCTTCGAACCAACATAAATACTTTCGGCACGGTACTTTTCGTAACGAAGCGCCTCCAGATACTGGGTGGTCATGAAAGTATGTAAAATAGAAGCTTTGTTACATTGGTATCTCCTGTACTTAGGTAAACCACACAATCGTCGTATTCTTTATATCTACTAATCCTATTCAGGTTGTTACTTCCTCAATAATCCTCTAATAATAAAATAAGCATTATTTTAGAAATCATAACTCAGAGATTTTGATCGCACTCACTTGTATTTCTCACCATCCCGGTCTGGTGGGATTTTAAGATCGTTTTGAATTTTATTTCTTTGGTTATAAATTAATAAAAAACCTTATTTTGTGCATGAAATTATTTAGCTAAAAAATTTGCAATAATTATCTCTACAGAGTATAAATCGATTGATTGTGAATTCAATTGATTAATCGTGTATTACTTAAATGTAACAAAGTACGCTTCAGTCTATTTTATCATAATTTTGGAATAGGTAATAAATTAAATTGATTCGGTAGAAATAATAGAGTTATAACGACTAATATTTGTTTTAGGTAATCACCTCTTGCGATTTGGATGATCTAACTCTTTCATTCAATCATATGAATATATACCCTCTTCGTAAACTAGCTCTTGGTATGTACCCCTAGTATAACTCGCTATTCTTTCTAGGGTACCAAGAGGGATCGATCAGATTATAGTACAGAAAACGCCGAATTAGAAGAAGGAGAATGTTCGGACAGTAGTGTTAGCGGTACATCCCAAGATAACGTAGACGAAACAAATTTATCCGAGCATGCCGGTATTAATATTTTTAAATTACTACGACGACTTTTTGTGTGTTTGAGAACTGATTATGGTTCAATTTGGTGGAAGGACTTCATTTGATACTGAATCAGTTTTTCCTATTTACATATTGAGTCCATGTTGAATAATTTCAAAATTATAAGCATTTTAAAATTTAAACGCTTTCATTTTTGACAGACATATCAAACGCATGGCCTCCGTGTATACGAATTGTGGTGAAAAGTACAGACGTTGCCAAACTAACAGCCGGAACTTTATACATTATAACTTACCAAGGTGGTACGCTGGGCAGAGAAGGGGATCACGCAGTCCTCATCCCAGACATTAGTATCAGCAAGCATCATTTGAAATTCACCTTTGATAATGACCTAAATACGTACACAGTCACTGATTTGGGCTCCAGAAACGGCACATTATTAAACGGAAAGAGAATGTCTGCCTGCAAACAAGAAAGCGAACCAGTACCTTTAAAGCATGGAAACGAAATTCAGATTGGCTCAACGGTTTTACTTTGCCACATACATAGCAGTAACGAAACGTGTAATCAGTGCGAACCCGGGTTGCTCCAGTCTAAAACTGGTAATCCTATATTTAAGGCGTACGCAACAACTAATCCGGTCATTGTAGATGAGAAGGAAAAAATTGTATCATCGTCTAAAAGTGAGCAGCACAAGAGCGAGCTTCGAAAGTTACGCAAGAAGTTTGCTGTTAATTGGTCCGAATCAAATAATTGTAATTTGGCGTCCGGGTACACAGATAGGGCTCAAGTAAGACGTGACACGATTGGAAGTCACAATGAACACGAAAAAACCCAAGTGGCTTCCATTGACGAGTAAGTTTTTTGTTTACTTTTTGAGCACAAGTAAGATCATGAAGTGCACTTGCGCATATCAACTTTTATAGGATGTTCAGGATGTTACAATGAATTGTCTATTTACGACCTCAGGGGTCTAATTTGGGTCCCCTGTTATTTTTAATTTTTATTAATGATTTGCCTGAAAAAAATCACTAATTGCAGTAGTATACTCACTGCACATTCTGTTACGTTCACTTTGAGCAAACATAACAAAAATGCAGGTAGTAAGCTTAGGTAAAATAGAGGTGGATTGAGGTGAATAATGGGGTTCTTGTATACTAACCAAAATGAAGCAAAAAGGAAATTTAGTAATAGTAAACCGGATAGGCGCCAATTAGTCTTTAGTAAATTTCAAAAAAGAGAAGGGAATACTTACCGAAAGGGGGAACAAGACAGACTAAAAGATCCTTGTTTTGGTCTTGAAATAAAATAATTGACAGGGTAGAACATATAATTGTTACAATCAAGTGTAATTTATTATTACAAATAGGAAACTAATTTCTAGATCTGAAATGTCAATGTTTAAATTTAATTTAATTTAGTCAGGGAAATTATTCAAATCAAAACAGGCTTCCGCATAAAACAATGTACGTAGCTATGATTATTAAATTACTATTAAACAAATGTAGTAATTACAATTCGATTGAATCAAAAACTAGTATGTAATCAAACGTTACATAAAGGAGTCATTGAAAATAATTACCTTTGAACTCTGGTTATAACGGTCTTTTGAGCTCAGAAGGGCGCTTTTCTGCCTTATCTGTAACAGATAACAACATATCCAAACAAACAAGAGACATAGTGAATGCCGCGGCACATAACTATTGCGTTGCCAATGTCTAACGTCTGAGACTAGGGTAAATCGTCCACTAAAAGCGTAATTAATACTTAATAAGAATCAATAATTCTATTTACATGCAACTACAAAAGCAAAATTTTGACCGACAGCGAATCGTCCGTACAAATCGCTAAAATAACAGTATAAACGTGACGTTAATTACGAAGATACGAAGAATCGCATACGATTTTCAGTAGGGGCATTTTTTGTCACTCCGCTCGTATTCGTAAACCAGACTTTTGATCCGGCTCATATTCAATAGCACTGATCCTTGAACTCTTAGAAATCGATTGGCGAAGGTTTGGCACATCGCTGTCTCCTTTCGTTCTCAAGTTAGATGAGGAACAGACAGACGGACAAATCCATCACATAAGGAGAATTTTTT